CCTCACAGCACAGCCTCTAGGCTGCTTCCCCCGAGACCTCTCAGATGTGCAGTGTGTTCACAGCAGCTCCCTGAGCAGGAACCAGCACAGCACAATCAGGGGTAGTGATTAACTCCCCTTTTCCCTGTGCTCTTCAGGCACTGCCCTTGGCAGCACTGCCTTCCACACCTCCTGCTCTGTGTCTATAGCAACTGGAGAACACACACCCCTCCCAGAGGCTCTGGCAGGGCAGCATGGCAGAGGAGTGGGAGCTGAGAGGTGAGCCAGCGAGGTGTGTGCTCCCAAGGGGGCTGTGGGCACAAGGACTTTCCTTCTCACACAGTAGCCAGCTTCCCTAGCACCCCTCCCCACAGCCAGGCTGCTCTTTGCTCAGCTTGTGGAAAAAAGAAACCTGTGTGGCAGGAGGGAACAAGCATCCACAGGGAGAACGCTCACAAATATCCAAGGCAGGGGAAATTCGGGTGTGGGACCCCAGGGGATTGTTGGCCTGGGGCACAGCAGATGCTTAGGAAGATAGAAAAGCAACACGTGGTGTTCTCCACTGGTGGCATCTCCCTCTGGTGGTCTCCCAGGCGTGCAGAAGCAGATCTCATTCGGGTCGTGCCAGGAGAGGAAGATGTTCCCTCTGCACCATGCCCCGGGCAGGCTGGGCATCCAGCACCCTCCCAGCAGGGGACACCCTGTGCTCGGGCCAGGCTCTTACCTCACTCAAGAAGTAAGTTGCTCATTTTTTGTGCTCAAAGCTTTTCCTTCACAGATTTCAGGAGCAACAGGGCTATGGCCAGCTGGATTTTGTGCTCAAAGCTTTTCCTTCACAGAAGGGACCGATTTCAGGAGCAATAGGCCAGCTGGACACAGAGCCCCCCACCCCTGCCCTGCTAAGTCATTGTATGAGGTATTCACATCTACCTAGAAAACCAAATCCCTCTTCCCTTCCAACCATACCAATCCTCAAAGCTCCAGCTGTTGCAGCGTTCTACTTCAGTGAGAAATTAGAGCAGTGAACAGGAAAAACTGTGTTCAGGCACTTCAGCCCTTCCCCTGATGCAAACGGGGTCTTAAAAATGTCAGTAAGACACTTTTGCTTTTGAATCACAGAGAAGCAGCCTCAGATCCTCTTTGGAAAACAAACCACTGAGCAAGAAAGGCTACGTGCTAGGAGCAAGGACAGCCCAGCGTTTCCCACCAGAGCCCCAGGTAAGAACAGCACATTTCAAAGCAGCAGAGCTGCAGCTTTACAAGAATTTTAGGCTCTTCCTAACAGACTCCATCAGTTTCGAGCACATTTGCTGTTGCTGCCTCCCACTGAGTATCTAGGGCAGCTATAAATCTCTGTACATACAGCCTGGTGGGAGCCCAGAGATCAAATCAGCTCTGGCAACAGCAACACATGCATTTGCATGTCCACATTCCTTTGTATCACACACACACACACGTGTAAATGTACCCACTGAGGTGAAATCAGGGAGGGAGCTCAGCTATACTAGCTGAACAAACACATTATAATGTTTTCTGGCCCAGCTTCTCTAGAATAACAATATATTAAGTGACATTTTCTCTCTTGCAGCCTGTGAGTCCTGGCCCAGCAGTGTACCAGTCATTCTGGAAGAAAGAAGGAAAATGCCAGCCTGCCTATGCTCCATTTTCTGCTAAGACACCACGATTTCCAGATAAGCCTTCAGATAAAGAACTTTTCCCTGGGTAATGTAACTCATTTTCTAATGCTTTTAATACTAAGCAGGAGCACTAGCAGAGAGAAACACTAAGACACAAATAGAAGATAAACTAAGACAGGTATCTGAGTTCCTAGTAATGCTTTTTTTATCTTCAAGAAGCTCCCCTGCTTTAGTCTTTAGAATACCACAACATGCATTTCTCCCATGGATGGATGCAAGGCTGGTAAATTCTGGTATCACAAACATCATACAGCAGCTCCAGAAATGAGATATTCTGCACCTCTTCTCTTTAGACCTGGAACTTATGAAGCAGACAAGCAATTACACAAACAAATCACTTGGCCAATGAAGTTTGGGTCTCCAGACTGGTCTTTAGGGCCAATGTCAGCACAGAGGATGCCAAAAATGGAGGTCCAGAAGGTAAGGAAAGGGATAAGGAGATGTTATTGCTGTCTCAATGCTTGTGAAAAAGGAAATTGTGGGGTTACTTCAGTGCATTTGCACTATGTTCTGCCACCCTTTCCTCACTGGGCTGCTGGGTATGAGACTCTACTAACCATGGGCACAAGACACAAAGTGATTTTCTGTCAGAAAACACTCATTTGCAAAAAAAACCCCAAACCAAACCCTTCTACTAAGAGATTTGCTCTGGAAGTTTCCATCCACAAAGTGATTAACCTGAGCTCTTAGTACTGTGTAGCTCTGCTGAAAAGAAATCCCTTAAGATTGAAACATAGCTTCATGTTCTGCTCACCCCCTCACATCTCCCTGTGTTTTTCTGAAGCTGTTGTTGCTCATCTCTAACTGATAGTTGTCTTTTAGCTGACCATGGACAGAGAATTGAGGAGACACCGGGACCGACTGGCCTACCTGAGTCTGTACTACAGCTGAGCAGCAGGGCTGCTGCCCCATCTCCTCCCCTCCAGGGGGGCAGCTCAGGCTTCCCCCCAC